ATTTTCTCTCTCTGACGTGATTTCTATAAATGCTTTTAAAAACAAGTGAAGCCCCTCTTTATTTAAGTTTGTTTTATTGTAATTGCTGGTCAAAGGGAAAATGCTGATAGAAGGACTTGAAATCTGGAAACAAGTAAAAAAAGAAAAATTACTACTTTTTGCTTGTTTAAAAACCAAGACTTAACTGCCTATTTTAAGAGCATTTTACACAAGTCTGTATTTTGCTATCAGGCATTTCTCCTTAAAATTTTACTTTTGTTTATGGGACATTTAAACTTACAGCGTGTTAGTTTTGTTTTCATGTTGCATTATACTCAATGGACGATTGTTATTTTGCAAAACTGGTTACATACTACCCTGTTACTATTGGGATCTCTCAGTTGCTCCTGTGTTTATTGTAAAGTAATGGTAGGAAGCAGCTCACCGTTTGTTGATAACTTAGTGTGGGAGAATCTGTACCTACCGTGACAGCACCAGGTATTCTCTTCAGTGAAGCACCGTGCGTTCTTTTTAAATTATTTTTAAAAAGTCCTTCTCTCTCTGGTTCAGCTTAAATTTTATTATTGGAAAAGCCGTGAAGGAAGTTATTATTCTTTGGTGGCGGTGGTTTTATTATATGCAAAATCTCCTTGCATTATGCGATACTGGCGTTGATAAGCTATGCGTAAAGGTTGTTGGCATTGATGAGCTTTGCCTGAAGAAGTATGAATTTTCAATAATACACCTCTCTCTCTTTGCCTCATCTCTCCCTTCTGTTCTATGTGATTTATTTGGGGAGAAAGCTAAAGAATCTGAATCCAGATAAGAACGTTGTGTATAGCTTTTATACTTTAAAGTAGCTTCCTTTGTATGCCAGCAGCAAACTGAATGCTCTCTTATTAAGACTTATACAATAAGTGCATGTAGGAATTGCAAAAAATATTTTAAAAATTTATTACTGAATTTAAAAATATTTTAGAAGTTTTGTAATGGTGGTGTTTTAATATTTTGCATAATTAAATATGTACATATTGATTAGAAAAATATAACAAGCAACTTTTCCTGCTAACCTAACATGTTATTTGTAATCAAATGTGTAGTGATTACACTTGAATTGTGTATTTAGTGTGTATCTGATCCTCCAGTGTTACCCCGGAGATGGAATTGATGTCTCCATTGTATTTAAACCAAAATGAACTGATACTTGTTGGAATGTATGTGAACTAATTGCAATTATAGTAGAGCATATTACTGTAGTGCTGAATGAGCAGGGGCATTGCCTGCAAGGAGAGGAGACCCTTCGAATTGTTTTGCACAGGTGTGTCTGGTGAGGAGTTGTTCAGTGTGTGTCTCTTCCTTCCCTTTCTCCTCCTTCCCTTATTGTAGTGCCTTATATGATAATGTAGTGGTTAATAGAGTTTACAGTGAGCTTGCCTTAGGATGGACCAGCAAGCCCCCGGGGACCCTAAACTGTTCACTGGGATTTATCAGAACAGGATTAGTAGCTGTGTTGTGTAAATGCATTGTTTTCAGTTTTCCTGCCGACATTGAAAAATAAAAACAGCAGCTTTTCTCCTTTACCATCACTTCTACCCCTTTCCACTTTGGAATCTAAGCTGACTTCTCACAGAAGCATTTTCCCCATGTGGCTCTCTCACTGTATGTTGCTACCTTGCTTCTGTGAGAATTCAGGAAGCCGGTGAGAGGAGTCAAGCCAATATTAAATATGCATTTTTTTTTTCCTTCTTTTAAGGTATGTGCAATCACTTTTAGAATGAGATTTTTTTTTTTCCTTTCCCATGTGGCAGTCCTTCCTGCAAATAGTTGACATTCCTAGTAAAATATTTGCTCGTTGAAGAAAACATGTAACAGATGTATTTATACCAAAGAGCCTGTTGTATTACTTGCCGTGTCCCCATACTATGAGGAGGAGTTTTGTGATGCCGCTGGTGACAGGGAACTAACTCACAGAAAGGTTTCTCAGCCAGTGAAGAATATTGAGAAGGAACCAAAGCCTGTTGAGTCATTGGGCTTTTGAGGTTTCTTTTTAACAACTTGTATATTCTTGGGGCCCTTCAAACTGTGAAATTGTCCTTGTACTCTCAGCTCCTGCATGGATCTGGGTCAAGTAGAGGGTACTGGGGATGGGGATGTTCCTGCCCATAAAAAGATTTTGGAGAGGAAAGTTAACCCTAAGATACAGATGTGTTCCATCTGAATTGAAAATTACATATTTGAGAGAGAAGTCTAGGACTGGTTCTTTGTAGAGATGGTGTCAAGGAGGTGCAGGATGGAGATGGGAGATTTCTGGAGCCTGGTCAGCAAGCTCTGTACCGGGTTGAACACCGAGGAGCTGTTAAGGTATTTGGAGTTTCTTCATTGTAAGGAGTAAGGGCTTCCAAGATGGGGCAGATGGTCAGTACAGCCTACCAGGAACATGTCGCTGTTTTCCGTGTATTTTTCTTTATCATTATATTGAGTTGTGTTTTCAGCACTATGTTGGTCAAGATACCCAAGCAGTTTGTATAGTTTCTGTCACTAGTGTTATACAGTTTTCTGGTCAGTGTGTGTGATCATTGTGTCTCCTTTTTTGCCAAGCACATTCTGATTTTCTTGCTCAAAGGCAGACCTAGTTTCTAATGGAAACATTTTTTGTTCCTTATCCTTCCTCTACAAGGGATAAGATTTGTTGTTTTTGTAAGAAATGAGATGCAGGAAAAAAAACCCACTCCACTCCTGCTCTCCTCCCCCAGTCCAATTAGTAGATACCGTTTAAGATAAGAGTCTTAACTTCTCGGGGAAAAGACAATACCAAGAGCTTGTATTGTTACCTTAATCACCTTACTAGCAGTGTGTGGCTTTAAGAATTTTAGAGATTTACAGTCTTAGTCTACAAATTGGCATTTCACATTTACGAAGCTAAAAATCCACCTGTGTCTACTGAATGTGTGTGTGCTCAGTGTGGCTCTAGATTCTGTCCCTGGGGCTTAGCATTGCCAGCCCTGACAGGATGGGGGAAGCCCCGTGAATTTAGTGAGCAGCTGGCCTGGGTCATCGTGCCTTGACCTCAGACCGGCTTAAAGCTTTTTAAGTCCTCTCAGAACTTGCATTTCCAGCTTCTCCCCTTCAGAATGAGAGAGAAAGTGGGGAAGGGTTAAGTCTAGCCACTCTAGGCTCATCAGAATACTTGACCCCTCCAGAGTTTTTAATAGCTCCCAGGAGGTGAATCTACTGTCAGTGCTCAGCTAAAATACCAGCCCCAAGAATGAGAACTCCATTTCAAACAGTTCTGGCCATCCATCAACCTCCACTAGAGGGGCTAAGTTTGACTGCTCTTAGCCAGGCAAGCACAGTAATGTGTGTTTTATTCAGCATTATTATGCAAAACCCCACTGGTTAGGATGGTTTGTTTTAGGATAGGAAATGAAATTGCCTCTTGGTGACAGGAATGGCCCAAGCCTGCTTCCTATTTTGATTTTTTTTTTTTAACTGATGGATGGTGCAGCATGTCTACATGGTTGTTTGTTGCTAAACTTTATATAATGTGTGGTTTTGATTCAGCTTGAAGAATAATCTCACTACATGTAGCAGTACATTATATGTACATTATATGTAATGTTAGTATTTCTGCTTTGAATCCTTGATATTGCAATGGAATTCCAACTTTACTAAATGTATTTGATATGCTAGTTATTGTGTGCGATTTAAACTTCTTTTGCTTTCTCCCTTTTCTGGTTGTGCGCTTCCTTTTACAACAAGCCTCTAGAAACAGTTTCTGAGAATTACTGAGCTATGTTTGTAATGCAGATGTACTTAGGGAGTATGTAAAATAATCATTTTAACAAAAGAAATAGATATTTAAAATTTAATACTAACTACGGGAAAAGGGTCCATTGTGTAAAACATAGTTTATCTTTGGATTCAATGTTTGTCTTTGGTTTTACAAAGTAGCTTGTATTTTCAGTATTTTCTACATAATATGGTAAAATGTAGAGCAATTGCAATGCATCAATAAAATGGGTAAATTTTCTGATTCATGTGGCTGTTTTTGACTTCTGTTTTAGGGGTACAAAGGGGATCAACAAATGGCATCTTTGGAGTGTTTAAATGCATTGCATCTGCACATCAGTAGAGTATTAGAGACAAATTCATTCTTCACACAAACCTCCACAACAGAAATGAATAGGGGTTGGTAGGGAGCACTTCCCAAGAATGGAGTGTCCAGCCCTCTAACTTAACATCACCTGGATCTGACCCTTTGAAAGAGACAGAAACTTCTGACACACCCTAATTAAATTTTATTTTTACTACCTTCCACCAAACATCTAAAGTAGCAGAATGAAAATAATCACCAGAAGAAGATGCTATTATTCCTTCCTTTCAAGCTGCACCATTAGAAGCATAGTCCTTTTTAGAGAAGGAGCACTTCTGATCAGATTTCTCTTGATTCTAAAGTGAAGAAAATTTCTCCTGATAAAGAATTAGAGATTTATCTAGATTAATCACTGCAGGTCTCTGAATAAATGCTGTATTTGTTTGACTTCTTTTGACACATGTGTTTAAAGCCAAGTCTACCCTACACTGGCCACTAATTCCTTTTGAGTTCCTACCATCATAGTTGGTATACAGAAATGAGAAACATTTAGAAACACCTTTTTAGACCATAACCAAGAGAAATTATCAGTAGTCTATTCTCTCCCATTAGTAGGGGAGTCAGAATACATTTATTGATTTAGACTGTAACATGTATATTTTTCAGATTTTTTGCCTAAAGAAATGAATGTAAAATTAGTGTGAACTTGCTGAACACTCCTCAGTTTTGATAAGAGAATACATCTAGAAGCTTTCAGACAGAGGAACGCTATATAGAGAGGCTCTGCTGTCAATCTCACTGCCAAGTAATCAAGAGTTTACTAACTTCTCAATAACCTGGTTTTGTTTTTTTGTTTTTAATTGTTTTTGTCTCAGTTATATTTTCTTCCTTAGGCTAAATCAGAGAGAAATTGGGATAGCCCCTTACGTAATTGGGTAGTCTATGGGGAAATCTGCGTTTTAATGATGAAAACCTCTGTAAATTCAATCTGGCTTGCTTTGTGGAGAATTTTCCACATAAGGTGACTGAAAGCCTTGGTTTCCTTTATTAATCCTGAGATGACACCAGGTGCTTAGCACAAGATGGCGCCAGTGAGCTAGAAAGGAAAGGAGTACAGACTTGACCAATGTTGCCTTTTTTCTCTACCTCTTCCCCTCAAATCTCATCTTCCCTTCTTCCAGCTTCCACTGAAATAGGGGGGAAAACTCCACACTATTATTGCTGGGAAAGGGAAGGATTAGTGAAGGGTATTTCTTAAGAAGTCAGCACTGGAAGCATTCTAACACATGGGAATAGAGTTTGCTCTGGGACCTCTGCCTCCAGCAGTTAGCCCCTTTTCCTGGGTGACTGCCCAGAAGGCCTCTGCCCTAGGGTTTCCATCTACTTTCCTCTCCTGGGGAGCCTACAGTCTAGGCGGGAGGTGGTTAAGGCTTCTGGCTGCTCTGCAATAGGGCCATCTGTGTTTGATCAGTCCGGGCGGAAAGGAGCGGGTGGGGGCTGTACAGAGACTGAAAGCATTCCAGAGTAGTGAGAGAGACCCGGAGATCCAGAAAGAGAGAAGGCACCGCCCCCACCCCGCCTCCAAAGCTAACTCGCGGGCTTGAGTGGAAGAGGCCAACTGCACACTACTGCACACTCGTTCTTCTCTGTCCCCACTCTTCCGCTGCCATGGGGCCCTGCACTCCTCTCCTCATCTTGTTCGTTTTGTGGTGGTCAGTACCCCTTCAAGGACAGCAGCACCACCTTGTGGAGTACATGGAACGACGACTAGCTGCCTTAGAGGTGAGCAACTCCTGTTCTCTTCTAGCCCAGCCTGGAAGGATTCCACATATGTGGATTCACCCAGTTTGTCAGGATCTAGGGATGACAAGATAGGGCTCTGTAAGAATCTACAGAAAACTGCATCTTTAATAAGAGGATCCTTAAAATTGCAAGCCCTCCTCTTTTCTTAGATGCTTAGAGCAATTCTAAAGCAAACAGACCTTGTATTTTACCCCTGGGATTAGATAGGAAAAGGGGACAGAGTGGAAATGAGAGCTAAGATTGTGGAGATGTATCTTAGGACAAGATGATAATTCTGTTAATGTTGGGAGTTCCCAGAGAATCTGAAACTTTCTGCCTTTTTAACAGTTTAAAGTCTGTAGCATGTTAACTCCCAAAAGGAAAACTGTATAATGGAGCAGAGACCCCTTCCCTCTCTCATACACTGTTAGACTGCCCTAGAGGCTCAGATGACTCGGTGGCACTGCTCGCAGAGAACACAGGCTGGAGGACAGGACGTGGGGGTAGGGACTTAGGTGAATCTGAGATGGGCTCTTTGTGCATTTAGCATCTCTGAACATCTGGTTTCCTTTCTGTGGGGATTGAAGGGGATGTTAATGCCTGGCTGCGTTTGTGCTTTTTCCCATTCCTGACTCCCTGGTTGGGCCTCTCCCTGCCTGGGATTTGTAACCCTGCAGCCCTCCCTCCCGCTCCCCCATCCCTTCAGGAAAGGCTGGCCCAGTGCCAGGACCAGAGCAGTCGACATGCTGCTGAGCTGCGGGACTTCAAGAACAAGATGCTGCCGCTGCTGGAGGTGGCTGAAAAGGAGCGGGAGGCTCTTAGAACTGAGGCTGACACCATCTCGGGGAGAGTGGACCGTCTGGAGCGGGAAGTGGACTACCTGGAGACCCAGAACCCAGCTCTACCCTGTGTAGAGGTTGAGGAGAAGGTGAGCGGAGGCCCTGGGACCAAAGGCAAGGGCAGAAGAAATGAGAAGTATGATATGATGACAGGTAAGCAATCTGAGAGCAGACCCCTAACACTCTCAGAACCAGTATTCTTCCTCGGTTTGTTCCCTTTTTCTCCTTGTCCCAGTCCACCTTGGCTCTATCCTCTATCTTCTGGGATCTATTTTAGGGAAAGATCTGTAATGACTGGTCCATTAAGGAAAGTTTCTGGGGACCCAGGCCTCTGTGATACCCTTTTCCCCAATCTTCCATAAGAGTGGAGGCATCCACTGTCCCAATGTTCTCCAAATGCCCCACCCAGGGGGGGTCCTGCGATGGGCATCTAACTCTTGCCTATATTTCTTTGTCCTGTGCTTTTCTCCTTCCCCACCAGACTGTGGCTACACAATCTCTCAGGTGAGATCAATGAAGATCCTGAAGCGGTTCGGTGGCCCAGCTGGTCTATGGACCAAGGATCCAATGGGGCCAACAGAGAAGATCTACGTGTTAGATGGGACACAGAATGACACAGCCTTTGTCTTCCCAAGGCTGCGTGACTTCACCCTTGCCATGGCTGCCCGGAAAGCTTCCCGAGTCCGGGTGCCTTTCCCCTGGGTGGGCACAGGGCAGCTGGTATATGGTGGCTTTCTTTATTATGCCCGGAGGCCTCCTGGAGGACCTGGAGGGGGTGGTGAGTTGGAGAACACCTTGCAGCTCATCAAATTCCACCTGGCAAACCGAACGGTGGTGGACAGTTCAGTGTTCCCAGCAGAGGGTTTGATTCCCCCATACGGGCTGACAGCAGACACGTACATTGACCTGGCAGCTGATGAGGAGGGCCTTTGGGCTATCTATGCCACCCGGGAGGATGACAGGCACTTGTGTCTGGCCAAGTTAGACCCTCAGACACTGGACACAGAACAACAGTGGGACACACCATGTCCCAGAGAGAATGCTGAGGCTGCGTTTGTCATCTGTGGGACACTATACGTCGTCTATAACACCCGCCCTGCCAGTCGGGCCCGCATCCAGTGCTCCTTTGATGCCAGTGGCACCCTGACCCCTGAAAGAGCAGCACTCCCTTATTTTCCACGCCGATATGGTGCCCATTCCAGCCTCCGCTATAACCCCCGAGAGCGCCAGCTCTATGCCTGGGATGATGGCTACCAGATTGTCTATAAGCTGGAGATGAGGAAGAAAGAGGAAGAAATTTGAAGAGCTAGCCTTGGTTTTTGTATCTCTTTCACCTCCATACATTTATATCCTCACTAAATTTCCTGCTCCTCATCCAAATGTGAGCAAATTGTGGTTCAAATCCTGTATTTTTAGCCAACGGAAGCCAAATTCTCATAGTCCCTTCATTTCATATGGAATTCCAGATCTTGAGTAATCCTTTTAGAGCCAAAAGAAAGAAAACTCTGAACGTTCACTCTTTCTCTCCTGTCCTGTGTCAACACATTGCAGGCCAAAGACGACCCAGACCCAGAGCTCTGACCCTCCTATGGGGGCAACCCCAGCGAACAGGCAACAGAATATTTCTTGCCCAGCTGAGTCGGAGAGAGAGAGGACTGGGAGAAAGAGACTTTCAATTCTGCCCTCTCTCCTTCTCCCTTCAGTACTCTCAAGAATGGGACTATCCCCACATCATTTTGTATTGCAACATTTTGCATTAAAAGGAAAATCCACTGCTCCTCGCCTGTGTTTGTTTGGGGTAGTCCTCAGATCAAATTTCTCCCCGTGACCCTCCGTTTTCTTCCTCTATCCGATCCCCACTCCTTAGGCCACATTAGGGACTTGGCTGGGCTCTCTTTGCTGAGGGAGAGGGGACTTGTTTAGTTACAGATTTTACTGTGAGGCTCCTGGTGAGGCGACAGAATCCCGCCAATTTAGGAGGCTGGGCGAAAGACCTCGTCCACACCCACGTCATCCGCAGCAGCCCTCCCACAACCACCAGTGGCACCCTGCCTCTGGCTATGAGACTCGAGCCCAGGAGCAGGGCTTCCAGTTCCAATTCTCAGAGGTTTTGAACCAGAAAATGGATCTTAGTCGCATTGAAGTCTGGTGTGGAAACCAGAGCCCTGAAGGCATGTGTTTTTAGTAAGAACTTTATTTAAGTCTCACCTCTGAAGTGGACTCTGCCCCCAACCCTGAACCCCACTCCCATCTCCAGCATTGGGTTGGCCCCCAGGGCCGGCTTGCACAATCGTGCTTGGTCTGAACCGCTCTGATTTTCCTGCTGCCACAGCGTCTGCGGTTTGGGCGAGGAGGAGGGGCAGAGACCGTATCCCAGATGTTAGTCTTACCAGTTTCCCAACACATGCCTCTCTCCACCCTCCTCACCCCCACCTACCCACCCCAGTCTTGGAACCTGGCTGAAGTCTGTCCAGGAGGCCTGGAAACTTAACCCTTTCCTGCCCAGTACTCTGACCCCTGGTTTGGAATTACAGAAAGCAGTCTGGGGAAGGGAGAAGGGACAGGAAGAGGAAAACCTGGGTTTTGCGCTTCAGTCTCTAGGAATCTGTGAGCTCTGTACCAGGCCCCACCCCAGCCTCAACTCCATGCTCAGCACTCTGGAGCAGGGCTGTCTGATGGACAGGATCCACGGCTTTTATGGGTAAGTTGACCTCAGGCAGCCCTGGAAGTCCTCCTGGTTATTCACCACAGTGGAGGAGGGGAAAGGAACACAGTCTTCTTCCCAAAGTACACCCCTCCTCCCACCTCAGCATAGAGTGGATCAGTCAGGGCCCTGTGAGCCTCCTTTTGTCTTCTTTTTTTCTCTCCTCAGGCAGAGTGGCTCCTGATGTCGGGTGGTGGGGAAGGGGAAAAGAAAGACAGTGAGGCACCTCACAAAGGCGCTATTGTAGGGAGCCCGAGGTGGGTGGGGGCTCTCTCCCATTCAATTCTCTCCTAATGTGGGGCTGGCAACAGTAATCACTGCCTGTCAGCCCACAGTGGGGTCTGCCCACGGCACATCTGGCTCCAGCGCCCGGTGCACACAGAGGGGTGTGGAGGAGGGAGGGAGCACTCAGTGGAGGCCTGGAGAGAGGGGTCCAGGCCGTGAGGGGTGGTGGCACAGCCTTGTGTGTGTGTTTGAGCACATGGGGGGCGCCTGTCTTCTTCCTAGTGTGACACTGTGTCAGTGTCTGACTGAAAGCTACTAGAGGGTAGGCTGTGTCTATGGAGTTATCTTGATATAGCACCAAACATCAGGAAGGGCTTTTTGACAACCCTAAGGAGAGAACAGCTCTGAGACCCTGTTGTGTAAATGACATCAGTGCGAGGAGCAGAGTATAAAATCTGGCTCCTTCTGCCTCACACGTGTGTGCCTGTCTTTGTGGCATCTTTCTTTGACTGATTCCTCAATGAGAAACGAAAAAGTAATCTTTTTTCTTCTGGGCTTAAAATTTCTTTGGAAAAGTTCACTCAGACTTTTCTGAAAGGGCAGAAATCCCTGGGGCCTTGTCATTTATTACTTTTTGCTTTTTTTCTTTTTGGCTCCTGTACAATAGCTGGTGCTATTTTGGAAGCGTTTTGGAAGGTGAGTGGAACTGTGTTGGCAGATCCAGGGAACTGTCCAAGTTCATTGAGCTAAGTTGTCTGCTGCTCGAGGAGAGAGCCTCAGTAGCTGAATCCTACCATCAAACCAAGCCTCCCGACCCCTTCTCACACCCTCCACAGCCCATCACTTGGCAGAAACTGGTATGACCTCTGGTTTGATTTGAACAAAAGACAGTAGAAAGCAGAGGCCCTAATGTGAAAGAGAAGCTAAAAGCCCAAAGAGAAGTTCCGCATCTGCCCCAACGCCTGGCCCCAAGACAGTAAACAGCTGGGATGGGGATGCAGAATAGCGTCAAGAAGCAGGAGGGACTCGCCCCAACTCTAGCCCCTGGAGTTTCCTGCCCTACATTCCAAGCTCTCCTCTTTGTTCTCAATATCCTCTCCTCCCTGGAGCTGATCTTTGTGTCTATCTGCCAGAGAAACCAAAGCGTTTACCTTGTCATTTTCATCAAGGAACCCAAGCCAATGTTGTCCGAACCCTGGATGGTGGGGAGGGAGAGAGCAGAGATGTAAGGAATGAAGTTGTTGATTCAGCTGTCAGTGCTTCCTCTGATAGGGCTCTGAGCTAAATAGGAACCAGAGCCCTTGCCCTTTTCCTCCTCCTCCAGTCTCGGATTTTCTGGATCCCTTCTCAATCCCTCTCCTTGTATAGGCGCCCCTTCCCCAAGGCTCCTGGGAGCATCCCTTTCCTCTGTTCCCCATTTCTCTACCTGGTTTATGTCAAAACATGCTCATTTGGAGAGCTGTTCAGACTGTCTTGCATTTCTTCTAGCCTTCAGGATAGGTCTCTTTAGGACCTGCTGTCCAGCCTCTCTGTCGCTGCCTTGGCAGAATGGTCCCTGGTCCAGAAGGGCTTTTCTGTTCCTTCAGCCAGAGGGCAAGTCCCTATCAGCAGCTGCCACCTCTCTTGGCCCCTCTGCCCCAGCAGCCCGGAAGCTTCCTCCTTTGCTACCCCGGCCACGAAGGCTGATAAGCTCTCCTCTGCCTGCTCTTTAACTTCTGCTCTGACATTGCAGAGCTTAAAAGATTAAATCTTTATTTATGGATTTAATAACTCCATAGAAGAATTATAAATGTGGAAGCCAATGTATTACTTTAAAAGACAGAGTGAGAAAGTAGAAAAAAGACCTCTCAGCACCCTCTCTCTAGAACATGGGTTCTGACAATATCTTGGGTTGGACACATCTCCAGAACACTCCAGCATGACTTCTGCGGGTCTGCCCAGCCCAAACCCACCTTCTCTGAGGATGGACACCCTTACTCCCTGGCCGAGGCTGTTTGGCCCAAGGGGAACAAGTCAGATTCTCTCTCGTGGGGATTTAGAATTGCAGATTAGAGATGTTAGATCTGAGAAAGTCTTTAGAAGCATCTTTTGCGCTACTGGGAGTCAACGAAAGCCAGACTTGCAGAGGGAAAGGGATGAGGTGTACAGAAGCAGCAGAGGCAGGAGTGAAAGGGCAGCTGATCCTGGCTGGTGTGCATGTCCTATCACTGACCATCCCTTCTGTGGTCACAGTACATTTCCAGTCCTTGGGTTCTACCAAATGCCTGAATCCTTAAAATAAATACTCCCTTTTCTTATTTGTTTGTTTTTCTCTCTGCTCAAGTTAGTATGAGTGGGTTTCTGTTTCCTGCAACCCAAAGACAACTCCTCATCTTGACCCTGACTCCCCAACAAAAAAGTCACCCCATCCCCTGGACTGCTGGCAGATGGCCTTAACCCTTTAGAGTGTTCCTCTCTGCACATGACCCGAAGGACTCACTAGAATAGTGCAAGAACCTGTGCAGGCCTGTCTTGAATCATTCTACCATGGCTCACTCAAGTCACACCTCCTCCGTGACGCCGTCTAGATGCCCTGGTTGGTTCCCCTTTCCTGTTCTGTTCATTCATGGTGTGTTGTTTCTTCCTCTGAGGCAAGCTGACATATTAGAAAGAGCACAAACTTTAGAGTCTGGCAAACTTGGAGTCAGAGCTTCCAGGATCAGAGTCTGCTTCTGCCACTTACTGCTATGATACCTTGAGCAAGTTACCTTATCTATAAAGTAATAATAATATCTGCCCAATAGGATTGTTGCTGTGAGAATTAGAGACAATATATGCAAACTCTTTAACAGTGCAGACAATCAGTATGCAGCTCTGAAACCCCACTTTCTTTGGGAGGCTTTTCTGACCATTTCCACTCCCACCCAACAGAGTCAGGTGCCTTTCCTGCAGGCCCTGATTTACCTTGTGCACATCCCAGTTGGAGTGTACCACAGTGTGCTGTGTCTTGCTCATCTTTGGGTCCTCAAGGCCTAATGCAGAGCCCGGCTCATAGATGGGGCTCAATAAGTACTTGTATTTGTCTTCCCCCATTAGACTGTGAACCTTGAAACGCTGGGCATATTTGTCTCCTAACTCAGGTCCTAACTCAGGAGTGGCACTTTGCCAGCAAGCAATAAATGTTCTTAATGGCATTTTTCAATTCAATTAGACAAAGACAACTACAGATAAAAACTGGAAGAATTCTCCTTTCAACTGCAGAACATGCTGGCCTTCCCACAGTGATGATTTCTAACTCCAGCATCTAAGGGGACAGTCTCAAACTAGGCCAGCACATCTAAGCCCTGTGGCCACAGGGGAGGAAGGCAATAAAACCACAGGAGGTAGTGGGAAGGCCTTTATTGTTCAGCATTTGGCTCCCAGCACAGGTTCTGGGTTAGTTACACCTGCTTCCACCCCAGCCCTGCCACTTGCTAGCAAGTAGCTTCACTTCTCTGAGCCCCACTCTCTTCATCTATACAATGTGGGTAATAGTACCAATCTCAGCTATTGTTGTGAGAATTAAATGAATAATCCCTGTAAAACAGTAAGCCCAGTGCCTGGCACACAGTAGATGCTTAATAAATATTTTTATTGTTATTGTTATTAATATTACCATGATTGCAGACATCTTTTCAGATAGCAAAATGCTCATGCATTTTATCTCCTTTGATTTTTACAAGAATTCCATGAGACAGGCACTCTCAGGAATCTGAAGATTATAGAGATTAAAATGATTTGTCTAAAGCCACATAGCTAATAAGTATAAGGGCCAACACCTATGTCTTGGAAGCTGTGTGGAGGAGTGGAGAGAGCTGGAGATCTGAACTC